AACTAGAAAGTTCTTTACGAATTCTCTTATATTGCTTGTTCTCATTAATTAATAGATCAACTAAAATTGGGATTGAATCCCATGAATGCTGGAAATATCAAAGGTGAATATGGGCCCATTCACCTGCCATGTGTACCACATAAGATGCATCTATGAGATGGTTACATGTGCAATTATTATTAACCTGCAACTTGGCCGGTGTGTGCGAGGTAACTTGCTCAATAATTTAATTTCGAGCATAATTTCCAAATTTTTTACTCAAGATAGCTCATCTTGATAAGTTGGTTTAGCAAAATAATTTATTGAGTGCCTCCACTTAATAGCTAAACTATTGCTTATGAGAACAAAGTTATCTATATCAGTTTGATATACGTTATATACGAAAGTATATTATTTTCTCCCCTCACAAATGGTTCAGGGTTAGGAACCAAATAGTTCCATCTTATTATTATTGATGTGCGGTATATATTTTGATTAACACCATAACGCACCAAGATGGGTTCTCAAAGTTGAGGAAACAAGTTAGTTTTTCTAACATGAGGGAGAGACATGATAAACAGTTGAGAAAAAGTTACATGGAATGAATTATCATTTATACATCTAGATCCCCGAATAAAATAATATGAACTTGAAGTTCATAAAAGGATAATTCATGTGCAATTTATTGCAAAGCATGTCAGACGCATTTGCTGACCCAAAGAAAGTAACTATATTCTCAATGCAGATGCTCCTATTAAGTCCTAGAAGGACAAAGTCTGTGGTACGCTTAAGGTGTATAGACTAATCGGTTTCAAGTTAACTTCTTGATAAAGAAAATGAGCAAATGATCAAAATGATCATAATAAAGGAGGCAAGTGATCTAGAAGATCACTATGACATAACACTTCATAAAATCTCAAGAGAGATTCAGGTACCTGAAAATATGAATGAAGAGATCTCTATGTTATGTCTTTATGAAAAATATTAAAACCGATATAAAATATTTGTCGACGACATCTATGATAGCGCTAAATATATATATGAGGATCTTAAGTCTGAAGAAACAATTCAAATAGAATTGGTTTCATATGAAAGACATGTAATTTTGAACAAGTAGTTCAAACACTTGAAAGTATAAAGTCGATGGTACGTGCAATTGGTTTTCGATATCTTATATGTCTAGCATGACATGAAAACTTGATATGCATCTAAAGTCTATTATATACTTATATGACATAACAATCCGTGAAGGATTTAAATTGCTTAAAGCATATAGAATTCATGGTCATGAAGTACTACATCCTCAGTGCAATTTGTGCACAAATATATCTTGCTATAACTATATGCATGATAATATGATAGCAAGAGTTTTCACCTCTATGTGAAGATATTGAACTGACGATTCCAACAAGATCATATGAAGACAATTCATCTCTATCAAGAATGATGATTTCAAGGTGCAATATATTCATTCAATTTAATATGCCTGATTTGTTCATCAAATCTCTACCAAAGATCTTTTGAAGATGGTGCACAAGATTGGAATGCAAATGCTCAAGGATGTGAATTGATGCTCTCATCAGGGGGAGTTAATACGCGTTGTACTCTTTTTTCCTTACAAAGTTTTGTCCCACTGGATTTTCCTTGCAAGGTTTTTAATGAGGCAACTAAAAGGCGTATTGTTAGATATGTGTACTCTTTTTCCTTTTCTAGAATTTTTTTCCCCATTGGGTTTAAGGTTTTAACGAGACACATTATCTGTTGAATAGACATTCGGGGGGAGTGTTATAAATAAAATCCTAGTTATGGTGAATGTTCACATTTAGAGAGATTCTAGGGTTTATTACTTAGTGGCTAAGTCAACCTCTCCCTATAAATAGAGGGTTCTATTCCATTGTAATTGATCCCAAATCAATAAGAATTCTCTCTCTACTTTTCTCTACAATACTCTTCTTGTTCTTTTATTGTTTCATAACAATTCAAATATTAAAACGCGTTTAAATTCTTCTTTTACGAACCCCCAGTCAACTCGCAATGTTCACCTTGCGACTAATATGAGCGTTCAACGCTATAATCAATGCTATCAAGTTTTGTGGCCCTGGTATTGATAAATGGTTGGAAACTTTTATTACACTGTGGACGTCAGGGTAAGCAATTTTAAAATTCAATGTTATAACGTACTCACTCCGTTCACTTTTATTACACTGCGGACGTGACTAGTGAGGGGAAGCAATTTGAAAATCCAATGTTTATAATTTACTTCCTTCGTTCATTTTTAATTGTCCACTTTGAACTTCTCACGCTCCTAAAGAAACAATAAATGAATATGTATTTTGCAATTTTACTCATAATAATGATATCATTTTCAAAAGTCTTGGAAAATAATTTGGAGAATGAGTAGTTAATGATAAGGGTAAAACGTGGAAAAAAAATGAGGTTCTGACATAATTGGGCGTTCCGCACAAACTTAAGATAACCGCTAGCCCATTGTATTTGATTGTAAGTTATAGCCAAAAACTTATTGCATTGGCTACAACAAAACATTAGCTAACCCACGGGCTAAACTAATGACGCTAAATCTTCCGTAGCAGTGATGCAGACAGCAGATATATACAGACATACTTTTTGTTGTTTGTATGAAATTGGATAAGGACAGATGTTTTAGATGTTTATCACAATAGTACCATTTATAGCTGTATCTCTAGACAAATTAGGAGTTTGGCATCAACAAAATTGACAATATTTACGAATAAAACCCTGCATCACTTGGAGCATTTAAGTTGCTTGTCTACTAATTAAGAATGCCGTTGAGAGTTGGCACAATATGGAATATGGGAGTTAATATTATGTATAGGGTTTACACTTCCAAACTGATCATCCTGTGTGAATATGATTGAGGAAATCAAACTAGTTAGCATTCAAAATTTTATTTATATAATACTACGTATGTTCAAACATAGGATCCGTGGAGTATACTCCATTTGTTACAATTCCTAGCTAGATATACAAACAGACAATAAATAATTAAAAATCACAGTAAGATGCATCACATCAATTATGTAATGACTGGTTATACAAACGTGTAGTCATTCAATATACGAAAAAAACTGTCACTATACAAAAAATATACAAATAGACTGCCACTACACAGAAAATATAGAAAATAGACTGTCACTGTACAATTTATATACTAAATAGACAGTCTTTATACACAATTTATATACTAAATAGACTATCACTATACAATTTATTTTTCAATATTAAAAAAATGAGTAATATAATAAAATTACCATGTTATTTATTGTTTCTTAAGGGGTGTGCCATGCCAATAGCGAACAAATAAACTTGGATGGAGGGAGCAGTAAATACTTACTCGCAAAATGTAGTGAGAATAAATATTCGTTATAGCTAATTATGATTAAGTGATAGTAGTTTATTAGTTAACACACATGTTATGCTTTAATTGATGGAGTGTAAATATTGAGTGTAGATAAGTTTTAATTGTGATAATACTAATTTACACCAAGTATTTATACCAACTCATATCAATTTACTATGATTAAGTGATTTGATAGTGTGAGAATATATTAGTTAATCATGATTAAATGCAATAGTCTAATGACGAATCTGTTGACTATTCGCTTACCTTTTAGAATGCTCAATGAAGGAGGCATTTGATGTTCTCGAAGTTATCTCGTGTAAGGCTACCAACATGAAGCATAGCCCGTTTGAAATCATCGAATCATGATAAGATATTTGAATCTGCTAGCCCAAAAGTGAAGATCAACCCCATGAAGTCAAGTAATTTGTGAATACCAATATTTTTTATTTCCGAGGTATGAAATAAATCATCGATAATAGTTGTGATAAGGTTCATATTAATCGACTAATTTTGGTGCGCTCAATTGAACTATTGTACTATTATTGGTTTTTTTACTTAGGTCCTAAAGATTATACCTTATGAAGTAAGATTTTCGTGTTTTCAATAATTGTTGTTAATCTTAAAAATATTGTGGTGATCTTGACATAATTATTTCAATGAAACAATGTGGCCATTAAATATTTTTATGTAATTATTTTATGTTAGTTTTGAAAATATTATGTCAATAGTTATTGGTTGGTGCTGACATTCTTTAAAGTTAAGTTCATTACTAATTCTTCCCATTTTATTAGTTTCTGAAGGATTGCCTCCTAGATCATCCAACACCACAAGTTTCCTTCGAAACAACAAAGCAATATAAGTGTTGTCGTTATGAACTTCTTTAACTGTCTTTTTACTGATTTTATTATGTATAGTATGCAGAAATTCGTATTCTCCAAAGTTTTAACAATCAAAATACCAATGCACCTGTTCAATATTTTTTTTCCTTTTGCCTTGCATTTCAGCTTCGCCTATGGAGACAATATCACCTAAGACATCCAATTTTTAGTGATTTTTGGCTTTCTTAATATTTCTACTGTAATCTTCAATGCAAAGGAGCGTTTGATGATCACAGTGGTAACTTCTTGGGTGAATTATACTAGCTCTAGCTGTTTCAGCATTGTTTATTAAGTCATTATTTGACTAAAGTTTAGCTAAAACATCAACAACTACTAGAATTCCAGAAAAATGATGATGAATGACTAAGGACCAAGCACTTTGCAAGCAGTAGATATGATATGTAGCAACTACAACGTGGTTATTGTAGCATAAATGTTGCTCTATCACAAATTAGTTTTTCCTATGTGTTATATTTTAAATTACGTTATTTCCTCACCAGATGTTTTCTAATGAATAATTATATTTCCTTATGACTTGAATATATGAATATTCAATATATTCAATGGTTCATAAAATAACAGCATTTTAATGCTCCTTTGTGTTTATAGTATTTTGTTAAAAATATATTTTTTATCGCGGGTACGTATACTAGTATTATGAAATAGTAGAAAATAGAAAAAGGAGAGAGAACATATACGCGTGTGTGTGCGCGCGCGTGTGGTGGTTTGTGTCGAGAAGCTGTCATAAAATAGCAGTCAACATTCCAACTGACACTTTCCTCTTTTCCCTCTTTGCGGCATCCCGACAAAGAAACCCTTGTTCCAAGATGGTCTGATTCTTCGGCGAAATTCGCCGCCGACCTATCATTTTCCTCCACCTGTCACCACCAATCCAGTGAGTCCACTTTCAAGTTTGCTCTTTCACTCAACTTCCTTCAGATCAAGTCTTACTTATTCATCAAAACTCGGTTTTGAGCTATGATTTTACCAAATTTGTGAAACTTTGCTTGTTAAAATGCTCAAGTTAGCTCCTTTCATCATTTGTAGCTAGGTTTTGACATTTCATCTTGGTAATTCGGTTTTTCTTTGCATTTCTGTTTCAGCTCCCATTTTCCGGCTAATATTTGGTTCTCGTGAAATTATAGTGCACCGTCGGCTGGTATGCCGGAGCCTCTTCTCTTTTGCTTTGTTTCTTGTAGCAATTAGTTGTGTCCTCATGTTAATTTCGTCATGTCATTCTTATCTTTTGCCCCTTTTGTTATTTTATTTTATGCAACTTTACTTGTTTCTATAAATTTTCAGTAAAGTTTATTACTTTGTGTTTAGTATGGAACTATTATCTGCTGTCTCTTAACTCTGACTTTCTTCTTTTAGATTCCTGGAGTAATTCTGTTACGACACATTTGCACCATACCTGATGTCGTTGGCTTCATTTGATAACCTTATTGTTTGGAATAAAACGTCAAAAGAAGGAAAACCGGCATCTATAATTAGGTAGAAGCAGACCCGTGTTTTAGACCATCCCGTACTCTATTTTATTGTAGGTGTGAGATAAATGTAAATGAAGAATCATTGCTGGTAAGTACTTATATAAGTGGACCACAACTCTGTTTGGGATTGAGGCTAAGTAGTAGTTGTTGTTGTTGTTGGAACTTATTTGTATTTCTAAACAAAATTTCAACTGCATATACAGTTTGAGCTGTAAGAAGTAGGTGCGAGCTTGAGCCGAAGGCAGCAGGTATGACAACCTGCTGCCACAAGGCTACATCGCTTTTGATTGGAGATGACTCTTTTGCTGCCTCGGATGTGTGTGTTAGCTATTTGACATTAATGATAAGTCAAGTGCAATGAGCTAAGTAAATTAGTCTTTTGTGCTGATTTTAAACCCATAATAAAAAATATGGAGCAACTCATTCAGACAACCAAGGGAGGTGCAGGTTTGACCTCGTAGTACTTGTAATATAGGGCGTCATGATATGATGAAGGTAACTGGAGGTCTTTTTGTTCTGTTAGTCTTGCAAGGGTCAAAGTTAACGGAGGAAGGAAAAGTCAAGGGTACGACCAAGCTAAGCAAGGTCATAGAGTTGGCTTTGAGAGTCATGGTTGTTGTTGTTTTCATGTATATGGTGCAATGTGGTGTTATCTATATGTTGTTAGGATTGATTTTTGAAATTCCTGTCGAAATTTTTGGAAATTTGGGGAGTTAGCCAAATTTTGGAGCTTTTGTGTGTGGATGAATATTTAAGTCACATTGGGTGTCAATGGCGGACTCTAACCCTCATTCGAGGATGAATGATCCTAAGCAGGGGAGAATGTAAGGCCCCGTTAAAATTTCCTAATGATTTAAGATTTTACAGTGCACCAACGGTATTTGAGGATAACGTACTCGAGTATTAAAGGAGACCTATGGGATAGAACCATATCATTTTGAAATAAAATTAAGGTGTGTTGGAACATACTAAGGAGTTTTATGAATGGCAAGAATTTGTGTGGAACAAGTTGGATACATTAAGTGGAAAAGATGTCTCAGTTAGCACAAGACCCGGCTTCAAACAAATGCCACTCCCAAGATATAAAGACTTAGGTGGTGATATACCTATCAAATTATATCCCTTTGAGTCTAGTTTCCAACACATCAAACCGTTTGTCATTTGGATATGTATACAGAAATTTATGGCCATTTACCAGACCTATGCCATATGTGCGCCCAGATACGCGGCCGCGCATATAAGGGAGGTTTTTGCCTCGTGTGCGCGGCCTGATGCGCGGTCACTTGCGCAAGTGTGCGACCACGCACGTAGGAGCCCTATAAATACCCCCGAGGCCGGGTAGAGAGAGGGGCTGAGTCATTTCTTTGAGCTAGGGTTTGCTTATCAAGGGGAATCCGTCCAATACTTCCCTCCCATGAACCAAGGTAATGTTTTTGGAGTAATTTTGAGTTGATGACTACTCCTATGCACTTATATAACTAGGATTAATCTTGAAGATCCATAGATTTTCATTCAAATCCCCAAATTGGTTAAGAACACTACAAGCTGGGATTTTCAAGAGTCTCACTACAAGAGGTATGTCTACCATCTCTAACTACTCTATGGTGATATATGTTAGGACTTATGGGATGGTGATTGGAAGCCATAAGTGCCTAACCTAGGTTGTGTTGGTGTTGTAGAGATTGTAAAATGGTTTAATTAATGAGATTGATGGTTTGGGTGTGAATTGTTGAGCATGCATGTGCTAATGGAAGTTGTGGATGGCCTAGAGACGATGGTAAGGTGAATCATTGGTATGGAAGGTGGTTGTTAGGTGAAGAAATTCCATTGAAGGAGGTTGTAGAAAGATATGCACATTAGATGTTTGATAAAAAGTCTAAATGATGGGGTAAATATGTAAGTTACAAAATCTTCCAAATATTTCTTTTGACGTTAACAATTTCTCAATCTCGTATTCTACCTTAGCAGCTCAGAAAAATGTCAAGTGCCAATATTGAATGAATAAGGAATACCATATAAAATGCCGGGCATCAGTGGAAAAATAATCTCGTGAATACTCGGACTACCAGCGATATATCACACGATTATGCCGAGATCGTTCGGCCCGATCTAAAATATGTGTACACTATCGAGGGTCGAGCGGCACGAGCCATAGATGCATCTATTATACTACCGAGGCGTTCGGCCCGCTCCACAAGAAAGGAAGGAAACTACCGAATTACGAGACACGTGCTTATAATACAGTACATGAGCACAAAGTGAATATAACCTTTACCGTTTTTCAAATAACTTGCCAACAACTCAAGGTGATAAGGCTCGACCTAATATATACATATATTGCTAAATCAATTCAATTATATCTTTCATTAGTTAAGCCAGCAGAATGAATTCAAGTAATTCAAATATTGCACGGTAAAGTTCTAAGTCTACCCGGACATAAACATGTTTTAGCTACCTTTAATTCATAGGCCTTTCTCATTTTGTGGCACGACGTGCAAATATTCCTTGATATTTACAAAGGAACTCCTAGACTAACTCGGTACCTTAACGCACGATCGAGGATAGAAGAAGAGAAACATTTCCTAAATATCGTTGTAGCCTCCCTATTATAAGTGTAGCCAGCAACACACCGATAAGAGGGACTCTACTGACACAACTCCATGACACCTTAGGACTCTTAAAACGTGTTCTCATACCTAGTTTTTCACGCCTTGACCTCGGGGAGCGCGACCGACGCTCAATTGAGTAAACCCAGTCGAGCAAGCCTACCTTACATCAACCTCTCATCATTACTCATGCATGACTTACCATAACATAATTAGATCTTGACTTTTAAATTGAAAACATTTGGCTCAATGGCCTAAAATTCTTTCTCATGATGGGTACACAGCTTTATAAATAGCTGTAAATATCGTGAACATAAATACATGACAAAACTCAAAACTTTAATTACATGACCCACAGTGTACATGGAGCTTCTATGACAATAAATACCTAAATACATAAAACGAACTAGACCCAAACTCCCACTATAAAATGTAGCGGGCTCACCATAAGCTGAGTAGTGAAGAAGATCCCTATCAAAGATCAATATCATCTTGTAGAAGTATACCTGCATCCATTAAAAGATGCAGCGCCACCGATAATAGGGACGTGAGTACATGTGGAATAGTACTCGTATGTAAGGCAGACAGAACAACATATGAAAATACGGTAACTCAAATAAGAGGCAAATGAAGTACATCAAGAAACTACGAAACGTCCCATAGAATGACATTTCAAGTCTTATTATACTTACTTCATTCTGAACTTCTTTTGGGATCAAATGTGCCATATGAACTATGCGTGGGATGCAAAATATAATGTAAATGTAACAACATGTACAAATAAGGGCAATGGAAGTGGCATCTATTGTTCATATTGGCTATGTGTCTCACCAGACCGTTCACAACCCTCTCTTGCTATGTACGTGTTCATCCATACCGTACACATATGCGTTTCATAGACCGTCCATAGTGTTTATTCATACCGTACACCTATGTGTTTCATAGACCGTCCATAGGATCTCATATACAATACACCTATGTGTTTCATAGACCGTCCATAATATTACACATACAATACACTTATGCGTTTCATAGACCGTCCATAGGATTACACATACAATACACCCATGCGTGTCATAGACCGTCCATAGGATTACACATACAATACACCTATGCGTTTCATAGACCGTCCATAGGATTACACATACTTTTTTTTTATAAGCGTGGTGTCCGAGCCAGCTTGCGCGCACCTCGACTAATTCCACGAGATACCTGCCTCAAGAAACACATACAATACACCTATGCATTTCATAGACCTATGCGTTGGATTACACATACAATACACCTATGCGTTTCCTAGACCATCCATAGGATTACATAACACCTCATTATGACCATATATAAACTCAAAGCGACATGATTAACATTACATTTAAGGTCGTAAGTTCTTGGATCATTGGGATACTTCATGTTCATGCTCATCATAGAGAAACACATCTCATTACATTAGCACATGCATGGTGAATCAATAAGTCGATTTCAACTGCACATGCGCCCAATTTCTTTTCTTAAGGTTCATCGTTATTTAGCATAGGACATCTCCCTTTCACCTCGTTATTCACTCGCTTGTCATCTTAAGGTCATTAGCTAAGTTCATGATTCTTAGGGACTTAACATCGAAGTCATTTGCATTTATTATTTTTGAAGCATACATACTATGATTGAAACCTATTGGAACATACAATGCCTCATAATTCTCATTTTGGCAAGCGGCCCCATTTCATGTTCATACTATCACTTCCTTTTTCTTGCCATGGGTGACCATAGAACATAAGAGCATTTAAAACATTTAGGAACACCATAGCCTCTACTCATGAGGGCATAGGAACTTATAACACATTAGAACAGAAGTACAAATACGTTCATTTCATAACCTTTCACGCCATATATCACTTCATTAGTGCTTTCAACTACTTACAACATCATTATTTAATTGGCTCTCTTGGCCATACATATGATTCTTCTTTCATGGCACAATGGCCGTATTTCATATTTCACACTCTCAGTTCTTTACTTTTAAGGGTTATCATCATAAACATCAACATATAGAATATTCTAGAAAT